AGATAGGCGTCTAGCTGGGGTCTTCTAGACCCAGCACTCTTTCCTGCCTATGCAGGGGGTCGGACTCGATGATCTATTGAGGTCCCTTCCTACCCTAGCATCTATGAATCTATGAATAAGGCAGGATCAGCCCTGTCCACACAAGCCCAGACAAACCCCATGTCCAACCTCTGAGCAAAACTAGTCACCCCAGACACAGCCCCAGCCACCGCCCTCACCCCGGGAAAGCAGGGGGGCTGCAGCCACCAACATTCTGTTGCTGTAAACGGGGCTCATAGATGCTGCAGAGACCCCAGGCCCAGGCCGTGCCCCTGCTGCAGAGGAAGGGGAAACCCCCCCAGTGCTGACCAGTCTGAGCAGGGGGGAAATCCCTTCCTGCCCCAGTGCAACGTCAAGCTGACCCTGAGCGCAGGGGCCAGACCCTCCAGCCAGGACCCTGCAGGGTTGGTCCCAACAGGAGCCCAGTCCCCATCCTGGGCTTTAGCCAGCACCCAGCGCCTTTGAGGGAGGCTCAAAACCCCCCTAACACATGTAGTAGCAGGAAGTCAAAAATTCCCTCCTGATCACAAAGCCCATAAGCCTGGGAAATACCCATGCTTTGACATGCAATAGGCTGCAGCCCGGTGCTTTCTAGGCTGGTCGGATAAAGACGGATTTCATGGGCTAGGGCCCAGCGCAGGGCAGCTTCTCGTCGCGGCCTGCACCAGTCCTGGCTCTCCCAGCCCTTGTCTACGTCACAGCAGGGGGAGGCTGCCCCAGGCCCCAGCATTGCCAACCCCAAAATCACAAACCAGGAGTCAGCCCCTCAAAAATCATGAGCCTGGGTTTCAAATCATAGAAAATGAGGGTTGAAGGGACCTCAGGAGGCCACATCTTGTCCAACCCCCTGCTGAAAGCAGGACCAGCCGCAACTGCATCATCCCAGTCAAGGCTTTGTTGAGCCAGGTCTTAAATACCTGCAAGGGTGGAGACTCCGTCAGCCCTTTGGGTAGCGGTCCACTGATTTACTACCCTCCTAGTGAGAAATTTTCCCTAATATCTAACCTCAACTTCCCTTGCTGCAGCCTGAGCCCATTGCTCCTTGTCCTGCCATCTGCCCCCACTGAGAACAGCCCAGCTCCATCCTCTGTGCAACTCCCTGCAGGGAGGTGAAGGCTGCTATCAAATCCCCTCTCTCCTTCCCTCATCCCCACCCAGTAAGACACACATCCTCTGCCGAGGGACAGGCCAGAGGCTCCTCGTGGCTCCCCCAGTCCCGCGTCCGGCTCTGCTCATGCACTGTGCTGCACTGTCATGTCGTGTAACATCACTCTGGTTCTTGTACCAGGTGCTAATTTCAAGATTAGGACACCATTACATCTTAACTAAAAACATATTTATTAAGCCTCCAGCAGTTGCAAGGGTAGTGCTATAGTTCGTCAAAGGCAATGCAACATGCTCACCACCCCAAAGTACAACGGGCTCGACGGCATCGGGTGATCTGTCCGTGAAGCCTCATCCGGGGACTCCCGGCTCCTGTGTCTGGTGTCTGTGCAGGCACGATCTTGAATGGCTGCCAGGATCTCTTTGGGAAGGGCTCTGAGGGGTACATTCTCTCACCTCTCTTTATAGATCATAGAGCTTGCATTTAATGCAGAAAATTAGCTTAAGCCTTCCTCCTGACCTAACGCATATTCATAATCTAGCTTGTTTGCCAAAGACGGTTCCCCTGAACTGGAATTTCCCATTTTGAACTAATCCTTTCATTCTGAAGTGGTGTTGATTTTGCTCAGACTGTTCCTCTTTTGCCCAGGCTATATTTATTCAATTTAGTTACTCAACTTCCTGCTTTGTTTTTAAGTCAGGGGCATCACTTACACAATTCAGGCTAAGCCAGGGGGGTCATGGGTGCTGCAGAGACCCCATGCAGAGGCTGTGCCCCCACAGCAAAGGAAGGCAAAACCTCCCAGTCAGGACCAGTCTGAGCAGGGTGGAAATCCCTTCCTGCCCCCAGTGCAGTGTGGGACTGAGCCTGAGTGCAGGGGCAAGACCCTCCAACCTGGACCCTGCGGGGTTGGTGCCAGCAGGAGCATCGGCACAGCCCAGCCCCAGCCCCAGCCCCAGCCCGGGCTGCAGCACCCAGCACCTCTGGGGGAGGCTTAAAGCCCTTGACACATAGAGAAGAAAGAGGTAGAGGGGCAACCAGCACAGCCCCGGAGCCTGGGACAGCCCCACAGTGGAGCACAGGTATTTTGGTGCTTTATTGTGTGTTTGCAGCTTATGCTCAGCATAAAGGTCAAAACTCAGGTCTGAAGGCTTGTGGGTCCCAAGAGTACAGTCAGGAAGCTGCCACGGGCCAGCACCTCCCTGGCACCATGCAGGACACAGCTCCGTGTTCACCAGCGGCTCCTAGTCCCCTGCACGGACTGGGCCTTGGACCCCCGAGTCCTCCCCCCTGCTGCACCTGCTTCTGGGGAGGGAGTGGGAAGGGGAGGAAGGCACAGCCCTATGCCAGCCAGCTACAGCCCCTCAGGGCTGACTGGGACACGAGCGTCTTGCCCTCCTGACCGGCGACGAGGGGCTCGATCCCTGCACTGCTCCCCCACACAGCCCAGAGGCAGCAAACACCAGACCCCATGCAGATGTGGAGATGCTTTATTGCCTGTAGACACGGCACAGTATGGCACGGTGTTGGGCACGGCTGCAGCTAGGGCAGGGGGCAGAGTGGGCCTGGTAATGATGCAGCCCTGGGGTCGTGCCCGGCTCAGGCACTGTCCACATGCATTTCTTCACCTGGCTGGGCCTGGGCCGCGGGCACGGAGATCACCAGTGGCTCTGTACCCACCGCTGTCTCCTCCCGGTCCTGGAAGCAGAGGGGGATCATCAGTACCGTGGACCCCTGGGCTCAGCACCACGTCCCATGCAGCACGGAGACCCTGGGCCCACAGCTCCCTGCACAGACCAGCCACGAGCCCACCGGCCAGGAGGCAGCCGGGCCCCGGGCTGAGCTGCTACCTCCCCTGCCCAAAGCCGCCCCGGGGCAGCGTCCCCAGTGAGGGGCTCCGAGCCACAGCCGCACGCTTCAAAGCAGCGCAGCCCCCCGGGAGACGGGGACCCCTCCGCCCCTGCACGGAGCCCTGGCAGAGCCCCTGCCCGGCCCGGGGCCAAGCCTTGCCCGCTTCCCTGCGCCCGGCAGCACAAGGCCTGGCAGGGGCAGACGAGGCAGCAGGCGGCAATGACGAGGGCACCGGCCGTGGTCACCACCAGCAGCACCCGGACGCCCAGGAGCAGGTTCTGGGGGCAGAGCGCACGGGCAGCGCCTGTGGCCTCCCGACTCCTGGGCCCTGCCGGGACGGGGGCTGCTCCCTCCTGTCCCACCCCCAGGCATCCCCCGTCCTCCTGCCAGCGCCCTCGGGGACTGCCCCGCTGTGATGCTGCCCAGGGCTGAACCCCACGGCCCAGCACCCAGCCAGGCCCCTGCAGCGCTGCCAGCACCACGCGGGCACCTGGAGAGCGGGGCAGGGCAGCAGGGCAGGGGGTCTGCTGCACATGGGGCAGCTGCTCACCAGGAGAGAGGCCAGGTATCGATAGCACTCCTCCTGCCTCCAGGTCACCTCTCCCGGGGCTGATGTCACCTTGGGGTCGCACATGTACATGGAGGAATACCACCAATGGCGCTGGATGCCCTGCACACTGATCACCATGGCCACGACCGCCACCACCATGCTGGCCAGGGCCAGGAACGCAGTGAGCAGCACCTAGAAGGGGGAAGGCATGTAAGGGACCTGTGCAGGGCAACTAGCATGCGCACTTGTGCACACACACATGCAAACACATGGACATGCATGCACATGTGCGCACATGCATACATGACATGCACTCACACACAAGTGCAAACAAGCATGCACACGCACACACGTGCATACACATACCTTCTTCCCTGCACAGAGCCCCCGACTCCAGCCCCAGTTGCGGGGGACCCGCTGGAGCAGGGAATCCGTCCCCAGGACATCGTCATTCTGTGCCGCCCACCGGGACCGCGCTGGCACCGGCTCCGGCCTCTGGGCGCCGCTCGGCCTGGCAGGACCGGAGACTCCACACCCCCCGAGAGCCCCCTCCCCAGGCAAAGGCCATGTCCGGCGCAGCCCCCAGCACTCACCCAGCAGCCAGCTTCATACTTTCGGCAGAGAATGGAGAACGTGCCCGATACCACGAACTGGGAGAGAGGAGCCAGCATGAGTGTGGGGCTGGGCTGGCACAGACCCGGGCACAGCCAAGGGGCCTGGCCACAGATGGGTCATGTGTGGACCAGCCATGGCCTCCTGCACCCACAGGGGCCACAGCAGTGCCACAAACCCGCCGTCACCTCTGAGACAGCAAGAGCCCCCACCCCCTGTACGGCAGCCCTAGGAGTCGCACTGGGGCACAGGGGGTGCTGCCCAGGCCTGGGGGCTCAGGGCAGGACGCACACCCCAGCCCCGAGTGCGGGGACGGTCCAGGGCACGGCAGGAGCCAGCAGGGGATGGGCAGGGGAGCCCCGCTGGGCCCTGCCTGGAGCCAGCAGAGCTCATGTAGGTAGGACAGGCCCTGCTGCCCCAGGCCACAGGATGGCGGAGAGGGGAACAACGCGGCTCTGGGGAAGGACGCCCAGGCCCCCTGACCACGAGGAAAGGGAGCTGACTGCAGTTGCACCTCGGCAAGGCTTGGACGCCCTCACGCGGGACGGGCTGCAAGGGAGGTGCGTGCTGCGCAGAAGTGCCGTCGGGCGGACGCCTCCCAGCAAGCAAGGAGCAGCCGTGCATGGATCCACGGCAGCACGGCTGAAGGGACCCCTGGCCAGAGGCACTCCCAGGGTCCAGCTGGGCTTGTTTTGGCTCCAAGACTTTCTCTCAAGCTCTGGACGTGGGAGCAGGAGCCTCCAGGTGTCATGGCACCGGGAAGCCCTACAAGTGTGTGGAGGCAGCTATAAGGGTCTAGACAGGCCAGAAACAAGGGCCGGAGCCCCGGGCATGAGGGTTGGGGCAGAGCAGCGCTGGGGGGAGCAGCACAGCGTGCAGAACGGGCAGGCAGCATCTGGGTCAGGACACAGGCTGCCCCTGAGGATGCAGGGGCGAAGCAGGCCAGGCTGACGGGCACCGGGAGGGCGGCACGGAGAGCCCGAGAGGCCTCATGCGCAGCTGTGTTTGCCAAGGGGGAGCAGCCCCAGTGGAGCTGGGACAGGACCCAGCACCAGCAAGGAAGAGGTGGGAGGGCAGAAGAGGTGCAGAGCACTAGGAACAGACCTGGGCAGGGGACCGAGTCTCCTGGGAGCTGAGCAGCTGCCCCACAGGAGGGGAGAGCCGGTCCCCGGGGGCCCGTGGCCCACACCCCACACCAAGCCACGCACCATAGCTGCCGTCCAGAAGGGAGACGCCTTCCAGTACTCCTCCGTGTCCACCGCGAAGCAGAGCGTCAGGCCCAGCGCCGCACACACCAGCCCCAGCAGGATCTGTGCCGCCTGCAAGAGCCGTGCCAAGGTTAGGGTTAGGGTCGGGGTTAGGGTCAGCGCCCAGCCCTCCCCACAGTGGCACGGTGCCCACCGCTGCCTGGCCCAGACCTACCCCCAGCACTCGCAGCTCCTGGGCGCAGCAGCCCACGGCCCGGCGCACTGGGGTGCAGGACTTGTGCCCAGCCAGCCTCGCGGCACCCAGGCCATGCACCAGGTAGGCCAGCGACGACGCCTCCTGCACGTGGATGTGGACGACGGTGCCGGCCGTGGCCTCGTCAGACCCCGCCGTGTCGCCCACCGTCACCTTCACCGGGCGGGGTGGCATGGTGCTGCCCGGCCCTGGCCCCGCGCTGGGGTCCCGCACCCCTGGGTCGCCCCGGAGCTGGAGCAGCCTGGGTGCTCGGCGCTGCGCACGGAGGAACGAGCCCGGCGGCTCCC